AACCAACAGTAAAGAAATAGAACTATGTCCTCTGAATGCAGGTATCACATACTGACACTGAACACCACCAGCTATCAGGAACTTTAACGTGTATTAGATGTGTTTCCAGATTCTCGTCTTAAGACTGTTTTCATAATGTAGGTTACAGGAACACTTGGATTCTGCCCTAAGATCCCTGCTCATAGCTCAGAATCTATCAGGCTTCTATGCTGGTTCAAACAATTTTCTTTGGTCAAAATGTTTGGTAATGGGTACAAGGAGTTTAGAACCAACAATCATTTTACCCATTTGTAACAACTTTATATCATATTATAAGCAGGCTATCAGTTCCTTTTCAGGAACACATTTCAAATTATATTTTGTGATGTTTATCTGAATATTTAAACTATCTCCTCACAGAAACCTCTGGTTTCTGATGTCAGTTGAATAATTTCATAGGTATTTCAGAAGACCATGTTTTTGGACTAAGTCCAATAGAATCATATTTGGGGGTTGAATTCCTTATGTGACTAATATCTGTCATACACTTACTATGATCCAGATTCTGTTGGGCTGGATGTGTGGGCTATAACAATGACATATTAAATAGATTCCTTTCTTCAAATAGTTCATAGTCTATTGTGGATAAAGACTTGAAAATCACAACAATTATGTATATCATACATATGAGCATAATAAAGAGGCACACAATGATGAATGCTGTAGTGTTATACCTGGATTATCCAGGAAAGGTTTCATTGAAATGGTGAGATCAGAGCAAAGTGGAGTAGGTGTGTGGTCCTTGTGGTTCTCTGTGGGAGTGTTCTTGCACAAGGAATAGCATGTGAAAATGCCCTGATGCAGAACTGTACATAATAGGTTTAAAAATGTTCAAGAAGGTGGTGGATGGGAGAGTGAGACAAATGGCAGAAGCATTTTCAGAAAAAATGGTGAATAACCTGGTGACATGGGTCTGGGTGGTCACAAGATCAAGATTTAGACATATTTTCCTGAATGATATCACATCCATCAAGTATTTGAAAAGAAATGTCTAATCTAACTTAGATTTACCAAGATCACCCAGAGTGTTTTTTGGTGACTAGAAAATGGTCACAGATAGAAACCAAGGGATGTGGCCAAAGCACAGGGAAAGAGGGGGAAGAATCACAGTCTGAGAGGTGTGAGGTTTACGGGATAATGATCTTGATCTTGGTTCTTTTTCTCTATTTCAGGAAATCACATCGATCCAGCTTCCTTTTAAATCAAATACAAGGCACACCTGGGCCATACAGAACTCATAATTGCCTTTTTAAAATATCCATAAAAATTAAAATATGAAATAGAACAAATAAATGTGTTCTCTAGTAGAGAAGAAAATGTCAATGAAAATGTTGGGAATGGAAATGAAGTGGAAGAAGCTAAGTGTTTTCTAGCTGTATGGCTCACATAGCACCTTGACTTCACCAAGTGCAGAGAACTACCCAATACAAGGGGTGAAAGTTGACAGTGCCCATCTGGGTCTCAGAACTACAGATTGACCATTTCTTCCTATGTACACCACAAAACTACTGAGGCTTGAATGGCACAGGGCAAGCTTTCTAATCGAATGCTAGCACACCATGGAGATGCTGTGTCTTAGTTTCCTGACCATGACAATGAAGCAAATACACAATAAAAAATGCTAAATGATTATTGTGACTTCCAGTGCATATGAAAGTTACGTTTATGCCTTAATGGATTCATTCAATATATACGAGTATTATGTTTAAATGAAAATATTACTTTAATTTATAAATATTTTATTGCTAAATAAATGCTAATCATTGTACTAAACTCAGCAAGTCATTATCATTTTGATAGTGGAGGGTCCAACCTCCATTTTGATGGATTCTGCCTGCTCAGGGTGGTGGTTGTGGGAGACTGGGTGGCTGTGGGAACTTATTAAAATCAGGCAACACTGAAGTCTGCCAAATCAACTGATTCTTTCTAGAAGATTTCTCTATGATGCTGTTTAATTGCATGCTCAAGGCCTGTGGCTGCTATATCAACTAAATTAATAGAATGGCTTAAGTTCTTTGTAGTCTTTTCATCATTGTTCATTCAGACTCTTCATCAGAAACAGTTTTTATGTCCATCACACCTGTACATACAACCTCCACTGAAGCCTTGAACTCTTCAATGTTATCTGTGAGGACTGAATTCAATTTCTTCCAAACTCCTGTTAATGTTTTTATTTTTACTTCCTCTAGTGAATCAGGTATGTTCTTAAGGAACAATCTGTGAAGGTCCTAGAATACATCTTCTTGCAATATAAGCTTTTCTTTACTATATTGTAAATGGGTTATTCAGTGTATCCACCTTCATCAGTGATTTTAGCTAGATGGAATTTTGCTGCAGTTACTCCATCAGCATTTGCCACTTTATCTTGAACTTTTATTTACACAGATGGATTCTATTCTTCAATGTCATGTACCAAGCTCTGCTAGTTCAAACTTTTCTTCTGCATCTTCTCCTGTCTCAACTTTATAGATTTGAAGGCAATATCTTACTCTGAAGTACGCTTTGGCTTAATGCTAACATTATGGCTGGATTCACCTATCCAAATCACTAATATTTTGTCATCACCAATAAGGTCTTTTCCTTCTTATCTTCAATTGTTCACTGTAGAGGCACTTTTAATTTCCTTCAAGAAATTTTCTTTTATATTATAGCTTGGCTTAACTGGCACAACAGGCCTGCCTTATTTGTCTCCCATGGCTTGTGCCATACAGTCTTCACTGATATTCGTCATTTCTAGCTTTTTTTTTATTTGAAGGATAAGATGTGTGACTCTTCACTTAACACTTACAGAGCATTTTAGAGTTATTAACAGACTTCATTTAAATAATGCTGTGCCCCAGGGAGCAAGGGGCTGGGGAAAGAGAGAGAAATGAGTAGAGTAGAAAAAACAGCATTTACTTTGTTCACTGTCTTACATGGGTGGGATTAGTGATAGATATATGATAATAATAATAATAATAATAGTAGTAGTAATATCACAGATTCTGATTATAGATAATCTTATAACCTTATAGACATAATACAGAAAATTTTTGAAATCATTGCAAATCCATAAAATGTTATACAGAGACATGAAATGAACTATTGGGAAAATGATACTGATTTAAAAAAAAGAACTTAAAGTATTTGGATACACTAGGAATAAGCAATGAATGCTTTTGAGGAGTGTGGGAAAGTGGAAACAGAGAACTTATAATATGTTTTGTGATTATACTAATGGTATAAGTAAGAGAAAAATAACTTAGAAGAGAAATGGGATCATGAGGTGGGTGAATAAAGTAAAAAATATCGTGGCTTAGCTTTCAAATTAAAGAAGGCCCAGCAAGTGACACTAGGCAGGTTGCTGGTAGATTGAAAGGGAGGGTTGATGTTGTCTCTGAATGGAAAATCATTGTAGGCACCAGGCGCAAAGAGGCTTGGTCAGACACTGATATATGGACATAGCCATTAATATAAGTGCACTTCACTGGTGTTTTAGTTTTAAAGTTACTGTATAAACACAATACAGATACCTTGGCTGTGGGTACAGAAGTGAATGGATATCTTAACTTGGGCAATGTGAAATAAAAATGTAGCTCAAATAAAACAATGATGGTATAATCTGAGGTGAGAAACAATGGTAGGGAATGTGTAAAGGCAATTATCAGTTAAAAGTTGCTAAGCAATACTAAATGATGATTAAATATATTATTTAATGCTTACAAATGAATCAAAAACTGAAAATCATGATGCTACCAAATATTAGGCAGGGTAAGATAGAAGTGAGACAGAGTAAATAAACTATATTCACTAGTCATATGAGGCAGTCAGTGGCATTGCTTGATGGATTTGAGCAAACAGAAGAGTGTTGGAGCCTTAGGGGTACCTGCCATGCCTTTGATGCTGAAGCATGGCATGGTATATGTAGGCAGGGAGGGAAAGACATGGATGGGAAGTCTGAAGGGCATGTCAGCCACCAGTCTCCTGGCCCCTCTATGCCAGGAGGCCCATCTGTTGTTTGCTAGTGTCAGAAAGGTGAAAATCATAATAGCTGCTGGTAACCAGCAGTCTTTTGTTTGGGTGAAAAGGATCTTGGTTAACTCTTTTTCCTTACAATGTGGACTAGAGTTACAGAATGAGGCATTGTGGGTGGCACACACTGAGCAGAACCAGTGATCACTAAGCTTCTTAGAGATCTTGTTCCCTCTTTGAAGTTCAGTTTCTCCAATTGCAGAAAGCCAGAATGCTATATTCTAAGTATGATGCTAAAATCAACAGCTTATAGCTTTACCTGATAAATAACAGTATGAAAAATTTGTGAGTTCCACCGAAACCCTCAAATCAGAATTTCTAGGGATACAAGAAACTCTGCTTATATAGCTTTTTAAGGGATTCTTCTATTTCACATTAAAATGTGAGAATCAGACTCTCCCTGCTGGTGCAGTGGGCTAACGTGGAACACTGCAAACTGGCTGCAGCCACTTCAGTGTAAGTTCAATCCCCAACCCTGGAAGTGACCCACATAGCACAGCAGATCTCTCCTGACCTACTTACTGCTCCCCTCAGCTGTGTACTTCGTCAATCTGCCTGTCCTGTTCTCCACTCTGTCTCTGGTGAATCCTCTTACCACTCTGGCCTGCATGCCAGTTCTGAATGCATAAATAAATACATCTTAAAAAAAGATACACCCCCCCCAAAAAAAAGAAAATCACTGACCTAGAATGAGATTTCTAAAGTTCTGTCCCTGTCTAAAAATCCTATCATTTTCACAGAAAATAAATTTCAACATAATGAAGTCAATGGCCATAAAAAGGGTTGATAGCTTTTTTGGTGACTTGATGAAAACATATGTTAAATAAGCATGGTTTATGAAGATTCCAAAGAGGAGTGAAAACCATCATGGGTGAGGTTGAAGATCTGCTTGAAAATGGCATGGAAAAAAAATGAATAACAAGGAAAATACTTAAGGACCATATCATCAGCTCCAAGAAACACCTGAGTTGTGAGTATCTGGAGCCACAGGACTAAACCTTTACTTGACATTTATCAGCTATCAGTATACAACTTCTGCTTTTTCCTTCCTCTTTGCAAGGTGACAATAAACTATGTCCCTTGCTCCTCCCTTGCCTGATTAATACAACACATGTCCTAATCCACATGTTCTGATCCACCCTAATCCTGTCCCAGCATCTTTGATCACTTTACACTGCTGCACTTTGTTTTTCCTTTAGCAATTTTCACCTTCAATCATCCCATAAAATTCACTTATTCACTATATTATGCTTCATGCTAAAATGTAAGATCCATGAAGTATGGATCAGTCCATTTAGTTAATGACTGTATCATCCCATAAAATTCACTTATTCACTATATTATGCCTCATGCTAAGATGTAAGATCCGTGAAGTATGGATCAGTCCATTTAGTTAATGACTGTATCCCAAACTCATCTTTGAAATGGCACCTGTCAAAATAGGTACCGGGTAAATATTTAAAAATAAATAAATTAGTGGTGATACACATTTGAGGAGATGAAAACTGGTTTCTCTGAATCAAACACAGTGATGACAATCATTGTTATCTCAAATAAATCAATAAAATCTTAAATCAATCAGTCAATGAAATGTGCAGAAACTCTTATTTCATTCAAGGATGGTCTTTCACTTATCTGTAATACTCTGGCCATACACTCAGACTACAGAACCTTCCCCAGACACTGAGTGCTTGATGGGGAAAACACAACCATATTCTGCTTTGCTGTGGCTTAGCCCAAAGAATAAGTCTCTGGGAGCCTAGATTCCTCCTTGTTAAAGAAAAACATAGGTTGTTTCAGAGTTAGCAGGACATAAATGTGTCGTTCTCTCTATAGCGTGTCAAACTTAGAAGGGCCTCAGAATAAACACTTGAGTTTATTTGGACCATGTGGTCTCTGTCACAATGAGTGAAGCTGCTGTTACAGCATGAAATCAGCAGTAGATAGCAAGCTGCAAATAAGGCAGCACTCAATAGATAGTAAGCAACACTGATTATCTTTGTGTTACAACAAAATACTACTAATAAAACCTAGTGACAAGCTGAGTTTGGCCCCAGACCATAACAGGAGGATCCCTTCTCTAGAATAATGCATATCCATGAATCTATGGGAATGTTTTGTTATTGAAAGATTAACTTTTTATATAGAGACAAGAAATTTCCTGCCTCAGAATGAAAAATACTTTTTACAGAAAAGTCTTAAATATTGTGATTATCCCTTGTACTGTACAAACAGAAATATTGTAAGTTCTTATTTGGGTTCATGGAAATTCTTCTCCTTCAGCTGTCAGAAAGTGAAATTTCTCTAAAACATGCCCGAATCTTAAAGATGACCACAATCCACATCTCAGAGCAACCTTAAGTTATACATAGTCATTCTCTTGTCAGTGCAAGTGGGCTCATTATGGTCCCCAGTTAGTGGGGTAGTTTTCCTAGTAGTGACATATTTGCATTTTAAAAAATATTTATTTATGCATACAAGAGCCAGGGTACAGGCCAGAGTTACAAGGGGTGAGAGGATTCAGAGACAGATTGGACAACAGAACAGGCATATCGACTGAAATACACTACAAAGGGGAACAGTGGGCAGGTCAGAGAGGTCTGCCAAGCCATGTGGGTTACTTCCCTGGCCCAGTATCAAACGTGTGCTTCAGTGGCTGAGGATAGTGTCATAGTGCTGCACTTAAACCATTGTGCCACCATGGAGGGCCTGATATT